AAGAGGCGGAGAGAGAGACAGAGAGAACGGTTCTTCGGTTGTTGGATCACGATGGTGACAGGTGAATCTGTGGAAGTTGAATTTGTGAGGGATGAAGAAAGAGGAGGGGGGGAGGAGAAGAAGAAGAAGAAGCGGAGAAAAAATTTAAGATAAAAGAAAATAAATTATTTTTAAAAAAAAATTATTATAGGGTTTTTTTTTAGTAAAAAGTAGAAAAATTAGAAAGTAAATCCTCTTGGTCGATGAGTAGTCTTTCAAATACATCCCAATGTAGAATATTTACAAAACTTCCTTAGTTTACAAGGACTCTCTTGATTTCTTATTCATCACACCTAATGGTAAGTGACCATGAAATCATCAATGTGATGGTGGGTTCCAGTTGCGTCCTTCTCATAGAAGGTGGTTGTTTCTTTGAGCATCTTTGACTCACCTTTGTCTTCAACGCTGGGAAGATCTTCAATATTCAGAATCTAGTGAGTGTACCTTCTATAGGCAGAACTAGTCTCACCCACCCCAACGAATCCTCCTGCAATTGTATTGAGTATGTGGCATACGCCTTTACTCCCCTTTCCTTGGGATTTTTCCTTCGCCTTGGCGGGCCTAAGACTCAATGTGTTATCTCGCCCACGAGAACTAGATTTGTCTATCCCACAGAAAGAATCTCCCTTGACATACTTCTTGAGGTGTCTCTCTTAAATCAACCTCTCGATCTCTTTCTTGAGTTGGTAATAGTCCTCAGTGTGGTCTCCTTTGACTCTGTAGAACATGCACCACCTTCCTTATTCAAGACCCCTTATATTTTCCTTCAGAGCAGGAGGCGAGGGAATATTATGCAGTGGAGAACCTCGTGCCAAATTTGTTCACAATGATTGTTCAGAGGCATGAGGCTATATATCTCCTTGCCTTTTTTTTAACGCGGTCTTGTCTTTGATGGGAGAGGTATAATTGCTCCTCTTTTAGTGGTGTGAACCTTAGGCATTTAGAATACACTCCTTGATGTTTTGTGCCTTCTTCATGGTGTTGCTCTCCTTGCCTTTTATGTAGCATTCCACCCTGGTAACCACTTCTTCTAGTGAAAACGTTGGTTTTTAAGCGAGAGGTTCATTGAAGTGTCCCCATTTTAGACCATTTTGGAATCCCCCCATGAACATCTCTTGGTTTGGGGGAACGACTCAAATGGTGGCTTCATTGAACTGGGTGAGATGGTCCCTCAGCAACTCTGATGGACCGTGTCGTATGCTGAATAGGATGGTGATTTACATATTCTTGTGACGGCTAGCTATGAATTAATGCACAAGTTTCCTTACAAACTCCTGATAGTTGGCTATGGAAGCTTAGGGAAGAACCATTTATCATCATAGGGTTTCATCCTTGAAGGTTGCAGAAATAGTTTTCACTTTAGGGAGTTAGGCGCTCCAATGATAGCCATCTAAGTGTTGATGGATGAGACATGCTCATAAGGATCGCTACATCCATCAAACTTGCCCAATGAGGGAGGTTTGAATCTTTTAGGGATAGACGCTTCCCATATTCTTTTATAGCAGTTGAGGGTTCAACACTTCCATCTCCTCTGGGGGGATTGGATTCTTGTTGGCATTGTCCGATAGTTTAGTCATTGTCCTCTAGTGTCTGATTTTGGAAACATAGTTTGTCCATGTAGGCGCGCATCTCCACCAGGGGTTGTCGTCACCACTATCATTGGTATCTTCCGGCATAGGAGATGGAGCTCTCATGCTAACCATGGTGACAAAAGGCTGGGTATAAGAGTGAAAGGTAACAGTGAACAAGGTAATTGTGATGAGGAAGTTGTGGCCCGTGTTAGTTTTACTAAGGGGCATAATAGGTGTCATTGTACTGGTCAAAAAGTACAAGTGTTCATGTTAATTTGCAAAGGAAATGGGTATTCATAGGCCTTAGTATGTTTATAACAATTTGTGGTGGTAGGAACTTGCTTGCGGTGGCGAGAAGTCCTGTATGGTGGAGTTATAGTTATTGTAGAGGTCCTGATCACGTGAGGTGAAAGGCTCTATATGTTAGCGTATATCTTTTGGTGTTGGATGTAAGTTATGATCTATCATTTCTCCTATTATGAGAGAAATATATAAATAGGCCTTTTGGGCCTAGGATTTAGAAAATCTTTAGGGGAAGTAACCGCTCCCCAGAACTAGCGGAGACTGTTAACTACCTATTTTAAAAAGGGTTTTGGTGTGACTTCTTCACATATAATTAACAGGAGATAATAGTATTATAAATGTCATATGTCCTAAGGACGAGCTCCCAGGTTTCGTGAGGATGTTTCCCTGGCGACGTCACTCTTGGCGAGAACTCTAAAGTCGCCTCTATTTGGGAGTATCACAAATATAACACTACACATCCCATGTATAAAAAGTTTCATTTTCTCTTTCCATAAATTATACTCTTTTTCATTAAAGGATATGTGTTTGTTTAGTGAATAGCTTAAAGACATTTTTTTCTCATGAAACTATTAACCTTTAACATAAGATAGGCTTTAACCTACTTTATAGACAAGAGACTTAAAAATCCATGTTTAATTTTAAGTTTTTGTTAAGAAATGAATTTTGTTAATATTCTTTAAGATCCTAGGAAAATGAACAGTTGAAAGTAAAAGCAGCAAAATAATTTGCAGAAATAAAGGATTTAGAGAGATTACATAGTGATATATAAAAGGATTTAGAGAGATTGCACCAATGATATATGAGAGATAAAGGAGAAAGATATGTATAACAATTCAATAATGATATTTTTTACTTTTTAATTGTTTTCTATACAACTTTTCGAATCACGATACAACTTTTCGAATCACGATTCGGTCAGTTAAGGTATAAAATTTTGAGTTTTTTTAGTTCCTCGACCAATTTTTGTCCATTTTCATGGCCACTTTTCTAAATAAACATGAGAGGAGTTTTTTTTTTTACATGTTCAATAATTCATTTTATTGCAAATTAAACATACCTTTATATTTTACTAAATATAACTAAATAACATCATAATATAGTTAATTTAAAATTATCAGCAAGGACAATGCTAGGAAAAGAAAGGTGTAATCTCATTATAGTACTCTTGGTAGTTACTCTGCAACTAATGGAAATGTGTTTTATTGCTTAAGGGATCATCACGTTGCTCAAGATTCAGAATACTATACTCAACAATTCTTTTAAGCATTAACGCATAAAGATTGGATAAAGGATTGTTTTCACTACCAGCCTCCTCAAGTTTTTCTTGTTGCTTTATGGTGAGTAAGAACATGGAAAATCATTGAATTTTGGTTGACAACTAAAGAAGAAGTTTGATGAACTCAGGTACATTCATAGTTGGCATGAAGATATAATTTATTATTTGCTCGGCAAGGAAACAAATGACAAGGATAAGAAGAATGTGTAATGGCAACCTCGACAACCAAGTCTTATAAAATTGAATGTTGATCAAAATTGTAACTAACTTCCATTGGTCTCGTTGGTCTCATTCGAGATGAAAAGGGTAGCTAGTTTGCAGATTTCTTCTCAAACGATGGTCAAGGTAGCTAGCTTGCAGATTCAGCTCAACACTTACCGTAACCTTCTAATTTGTTATATAACAGTCATATTTTTCAATGTACATTGAAGCTAAAGTCTTTAAATTTTGGTCCCATTTTACAACACTTCGGCAATCAAAACTAGAACTTATAATAGTACATTGTTTTGGTACTTATGCTAAAGTTGTAATTCATTGAACATTAAGCACGCACCACAATATTAGAGGGAAATCAGAGAACAAAAGATCAAATTAAGTAACAGTGTCTTCTTCAATAATAACAACATGCTTTATCAAGATGCAGACAAACCAAACACTTAATTGTTTTTCATTTCTTCTATGACAGAAGACAACATTAAAGTATGGAGCAGCCTATCAAAGAGGTGGACAACACAAGTTAGGTATGGAGGATGCTGCTTGTGATCATGACATTAAAATTAAGCTACAAACTAGAAGGTTACGGAAGTGCATCTCCGAAATCTTCCAGAGACACATATCCGGATCAAATTTGGACAAAATAGAGTGGTTCACTCACGAAGAGCTGAGGTGTGTGTATTACAGGTGCATTCGGAGATGCATATCCGAAATTTATGAGGGAAAATTCAGGTTTTTAGTGTGTCCACCCTCACCACATGAGGTGGGGAAAGTAATGCCCTTACTAGTAAGGACGACCACGTCCCAGACATGATCCAACATCGTTTGTTTTGAAAAGTCATTCGTTGTACTAATTGGTTAGCAGAGTATGTAAGCTATTCCGTTATATGCGTATCTACATAGTCTTCTCTGTTATCTAACCTCTTAGTTGAGGTGTGTGGAAATGTCTATGGCACTCTTTACTGCTTATGTTGATAGGCTTCTAGGTAAACTACCCTTCATAATTTTTTATTTTGATAACCATAACGGTGCTCATGGCTAAACATGACTAGATTTTGTCTTGTTATTTTTGGTTGGGTCAAATTGTTCAGAAAAGTCGCCATGTTTATTTATTTATTTAATCTAAACCTAGCTGGATTAGCTAATAGAAGACCTAAGCAAAAGACTGACTCTTATTTTTCCTGTTGAACGAAACATGAAAAAAACCTGACCTTACCTAGGATATGATCATCAAAAACATCTGCTTGACAGAAAACTAAAATGAGAAATCGGGATGGGCATTCAAGGTAAAATATAGGGGTGTTTTTAAGGAACCAAAATTCATCGTCAAACCAAAATACATGTGCCGTGTAGACGTCAGTATCGAAACTATGTATGCAGCTGTAACAAGCAAATAGGCTTTTGCACCGAATTTCAGAGTATATAATCCACTATATGCTTAGAAATCTAATGCAATAATCACATCAGCAGCTCTTTGTTGACCTACTTCCAAAAGTGACTTGGCTAAATTACTAGCTTACAACCTTATTGTTTCACAGAAAAATATTAATCTATACCTCCCACTTTCTAAGTAACTTAACCTTTTGATTATCTCATCAGGCTACACTGGCAGATGGCTTCAATTTCTTGGGTGGGGGGTTTCCTCCAGAGACAAGCACATATAGATAAAAGCAGAGCATTGCAGAACTGCACAGAAAATTTTCACGCATATATAAGGAATCAGACCAAAGTCAGAACCATCTTGAAGCCAACAGGCTGATTGAAAGAACAATTACGAATTTCAAACACAAATAGTTAACAGACTGAGATACCTTATAATAGCACTGATGCCGGTTGGAAATATTTTCTTTGCCTGTATGCAGAAAAGAAAATGAGTATAACAATGAAATATGGTACAATATGTCTTTTGTAAAAAAGATGTAGTACCAATGAGTAGCTCTGAAAGTTCTTCCAGATAAGGATCCCTGACAATGCTGCAAAACAAAGAAACAGACATTAAAGAACAATTGTCCGCATAAAATACATCATCCTGCAGCCTTTTATGTCTCTTTGTTTTTAACTACAAGATCAATGGTGTTTTAATGCTGATGAAATTTTATACCTGCTTGTCCTAGAATAAATGGTAAACTCGATTTTCCTTGCCTCCAGACCTTCAAGCTAAGGGTGCTGAGGAATAGTAAAGCACCACCAACTAGCACACCACTAGCCAGTGTTGCAGGACTCCTTGAAAAAAGGAATCCAATAATGCCTCCTGTTAAAACAAATCCACCTACAACAAATGACAGAAAGATATGCATATTTAAAAGAGAGGGTAAATTGCATAGGACATTGTTTTATTTTATTTTTTATATTGAAATAAGGTATGATCATTTCCTATGAATTGTTTTTTAATCAAAAGGTCGCCTACAAGTTCTATATCCTGTTCAGCATAATGTTCTTATTAAACTACCAGACATGTTAAATCCACAATCTATAAAACACTTATCTTCAAAAAGGTAATCTTGAGGTAAATCAATTCACTGTATTATTTTCAAGATCTTTCACTTAACTTACAACACCCTTGGAATAGAAAGTATAATTATTTATTTTTCCCTTTCACTTACCTAGATCTAACCTATTTTATATACATATAAAAGAAGTTATGTCAACTAGAATATCATATTTAAACAACACCCCACCCCTCTCCTGAGTGAAAGGAAAGAAAAAAATAAAACAACCAATAGCACATAGAAGTTTAGAAAATAAAAAATGCCACAGGTATATACTAGATCCAACTTATCAATAATGCCCAAAAGAGTCTTTTCCCTTCTAGATTGACAAGAAGGGCTTAGATTTAAGTAGTCCTTATGATAAGATATGATGCATCATTTAATACATGTAACAAACCCAACCCAGTGGGAAATCCTTTGGTTATTATTGTTGGCAAATAGGAAAACTAAGAATGATATTAAGTCAAACTTGTATCCATCAACACCAGAGTGAAATATATTATGACTTAACAGTTAAGTTGTTTAACATACAAGTTATCCAACTGCAAACACTTACCAAATGGAATTCCTAAACAAAAATCATGAATTATTGCAGTCTTTTTCTGCTGATCAACAACACCTTGCTGCGTTGCCTCTCCTAACCCTAATTTTTCTGATCCACTTTCTTCAATTTTTGAATATGACTCCTGCTTTCCTTCGACATTCAATTTTGATTCATCATCTGCATAACTTAGTGAATTTCGTGTTTCAGTATCAGCAGTCTCTGCTTCATGCCTCTCCAGACTCATAGCAACTGATAACTATATGAGATATGTTTCCTGTTTAGTATCAAGATCAAAATAATTGCAATAGCAATCTTTAATTTAAAAGAATCTATAATACGCACTGTTCTTTGGCCCTATTTATAACGTCTAGCACTACACCTTTTGATCTTAAAGTGGCATATGCAAAAAAGAAAGATTTGACAAGATATCGTTAATTATATTGTTAACTATATAGCACCGACACCTCTCAAAAATGGCGTGTTCGTGTCCATGTCGGACACCGACACTTGTAATTACCTTTAATTTATTCATTTGTCATATTATTACCGGTGTTGCCGTGTCAGTGTCGGTGTCGTATTTGGGATGTCCGTGCGTCATAGATCATTAATGGCAACTTGATCAATCATACACACTTCCAGCACAATGTTCACAGTTCTAACTAAAATTATATACAGTGAGGTACAAGCATATCTATTCGTTATAGTTGCACTTCCTGGTACTTTACGGAAATATGCCTACGAATGAGTGTTAATGGCTCTTACAGACACCAAATTTGAATCATGAAGCTTCAAACTAAAATGAATCTACGTTAACGCCTCTTTCAAATTTGATTTGACATGATTTCAAAGGAAAACATAATCGTTCAAATCCAGGACCGTCTTTGAGAGTGTACAAGGCAGACTACCGCACATGACTCAAAATTGACGTGGTTAAATCACGGCTAAACAGAGTCTCATAAAATATTTTTTGTGATTAAATAGTGGTAAAAAGGGTGTCTATTTGTTTTACCGCAGTTAAACCATAACTAACCTACAAAGCGTCTCTAGAAAGCTAACAGAACCACGAATTCAACAATATACTACTTAGAGATAACAAATTTTTTATTCTAAAACCAGCTACTCATTCATAAATAACAGACAAGAATTCAGATTTTCAATTCGAAGTTTCTTTAACCTAGAAATCGTTGTAATAGATCTATGATATTTGAAGGCGTTCATGTAGTTAATGAATATAATTGGATAAACTTAAACCCTAGTAAGTCACAAGTGAGCTCAACCGTGATCAAAGAGAATTTCATACAACAAAAAACAGAGAAAACGTAGAGATTCAATACGAATTTGTTTAATTGAATAATGGTGATTATAATATAAGTTGAAATGGAGAAAGAAAAAACAAGAGTTTGAGAAGCGAAGAGTGGAATGAGGACCTTGGAGGTGCGAAAGGAAAGGCATGGAAGAGAGCGGCGTTGTTGGATGTGTAGGCTACGATGAACGGCGGGGAAGCAGAACAACTGAGCCTGAGATGTCGCCGCCATGGTTGAACGGAGAATAATGGTTAGTTGCGTTAGGTAGCACAGATTTGAATTTTTTGGTTTGGGGAGAGTGAAATGGGAATGAGGAAAACGTTGCAGGTGTTGAATCGTCAACGCCGACCGTTCATAAACCGGTCCGGGCGAAGTATTTTAATTAAAAATAATGATTAAGAAAAACAGCTGGTTCGGTTTTGTTTTCTTTGTATGAATATACAAGTTACCTTTTTATTTAATTTTAAAAATAATGAAAATATTGGGATATGCATTTCATGTACCTAAGAGTTCTTTCCACGCACTTCTAGATGTTGTTTATCATCACTAGAGTCGCATGTCTGTCTGTCCGTTTTTTTAATGCGCACACGTAAAAAGATATAAATAATATTTTTTTTATTTAATGGTAATTTTAAATGAAAGTTATGTGAGAAGTTATTAGTAAGAAATTGTGTGAAAGATGATAGTAGTTGTTCAATAAAAGTTATTGTGTAAGTTACACATTTTAAAATAAGGGTAAAATCGATAGAAAATTAGGCTACACCAAAAATCATGTTTGCCCTTTATACATGTTATAGGTTTTAAATGGAAGTTATGTAGAAAGTTATTAGTTAGAAGTTATGTGAAAGATGATAGTAGTTATTCAATGAAAGTTATTGTGTAAGTTACCAATTTTAAAATAAGATAAAATCGTTAGAAAATTAGACTACAACAAAATCAAGTTTTGCTTTTATATAGGTTATAGATTATAGATTATATGAGAAGGGAAGTAGTTACATCCATATTTTTGTTGCTAAACATATATAGAATGTGTGATTTTTTTGTCCCTTTGTTCTATTCAATTTTTTATTATTCAATTATTTTTTTTTCCAATCCAGTCATGAAAATTAGTTTTGTTTGTGACAATATATAACTATATAGGAAACAACCATTTAAATTATATATGAAACGATGATTTAAGATATTTTATTGTTGTGATTTTGTGTGACTATAAAAGTGATAAACACAATTGATGATACCATACTCTTATTATTTGCAACAAAATACTTTTATTGTTTGAAAAAAAATAGCAAAAAATAAAGGGAAGATAAATTTAAAGATGAAATCGGGGACTAGAGTGCCCGTTTAGACGCTAGTAAAAAAAATATAATAAAGATACAACATTAAATATCATTTCTTTGTTACAATAGTTTTGAATAACTGCGTAATTAATTGTGTTGTGACCCACATAAGTGTACATATATGTGAATGAGTCTGGTTTTTTTAGATGAAAAAAATATAATCACGTGAAGAATCAAGTTTAAATGAAGAAATCAAGAAAATCCATATTTCTTTCTATTCCATATACAACCTATAAATCTGAAGAAAAAAATATAAAAATAACAATTAACACTAAAAACGTTTAAAAAGAAGAAGATAGGGAAGCATTTTCTACCCTGGAGTGGTTGTTATTGTGTTGCAACAATTTCTTTATCTTTTGATTTTTTTCTTAGCACATTTGTTGCTGAGAAAATGACGCATTTCATTTCTTCATATTATAGGAGGATATTTTCATTATCTAAGCAAAAATGGTTAAACATTAGAAAATAATAACAGAAAACTATTGAAAAGAGAAAAAACAAAGTTAAAATCAAATATTACTGTGAAATAAAGAAAAAGAAAAATAAGTAGAAAATAGAGGGGAAGGTGGAAGAACACGTGTTGCCATTTCGTGTGATGAGAGGAGAGAAAATTATCCATTTGATATTTGTTTTGCTTTATAAAGTTTATATTCTTATGAAGTTATATTTTTCTCTCTCTTTTATAACTTTTAGATAATTATTGCTTATCTTTAGGCTCTTTTAAAATAACCTCGGCGGTTATTGTAGGTGGAAGTTATTAAATTAAGACTTTGAATTGTAAAATATGAAATAAGTGAAGGGTAATTAAATAATAGAAAATAGGGCCTATCATATTCCCTTTATATATATAGATAGGTATAGATATCAATAAATAGAATAATTAATTATGTGTTAATTTTTCGAGTTAAATGTTTTATAATATAACAAAATTCTCGTATAAAATCAGCATAAATTAAATGATTTTATACATTAAAAATAATATATGCAATTAATGTTATTTTTAGAAACCTATTTATGATTGTTCTTGCTCTTGGCACGGCTCTCCATATATATAAATGAATTCAAATTCATGTATTTGCTTAAATTGAAAAATACTTAACTTATCTCACTTAAATTTTTTTAGATATTATGAATCACGATGGAACGGACAAATCATGGCATTCGCGACAACATGATCTTTTAATGCCTATGATAACTTTCCTAGCAAAAAAAGAACATGTACTATGACACTTTCAACAAAGTGAATCACACATTAAGTATAAAATTAAGTATAAAATATAAGTTTATGTTACTTGATCTAGCATGTCTCTCTTATAGAAGCGTCTAAACAATGATCAAATGTCTAGTGTTAAAAACATGTAATCAATCATTTGAGCATCTCTTTGGTACATGTTTGTCTCATTAACAAACTGATGGAATATTAACAATATAATCTTAATCATAAATATAATAATATGACATATCATAATTATAAATAATACAATAAACATGTATTTATTATATTAGAATTTATTACATGTATTTATTATATTAGAATTTATTGTTTGAACGTAAATTGAGAATGATATTATTCTCACTGCAACATTTTTACTCTATAGTAACGGCTAATTTTTAGGAAGTAAAAAAATTGTTCTCGTAGAGAGTAATAGGCAACTAATTATATAATTTGTTGCTGTAGCATATTTAATTTTTTTGTAAATTTTATACAACGGCCCGAAACTGTTCTGATAGAGAGAAATGAGAACGGCTCCTATTAGCAACGGCTAGAACCGTTCTTATATAATTTTTAATTATTTTAATAAAATATTATTACTAACAAAATTTTCAATCTCCCTCCACGAGTAAAATTTCCGTTCCCTCCCACCGTTCTCATACGTTTCAGTCTCCCTCCACGAGTAAAATTTTCGACTCCCTCCACGAGTTTCTCTCAAACCGATTCATTGTCCCTCCCAAATACGAGCTTCATCGAACGATTCTCTCAAAGGTACGAGCTTCTCCTTAACCCTAATATTCATCCCAAATTGATTCTTCATTGTACGAGCTTCTCCCAAACTCTAACAGTTTGTTCTTCACCCATATTGATTCTTCATGGTATGATTCTCTCAAACCCTAACATTCATCCCAAACTTGTGTGTGTAAATGTTCTCCTTCAACTTTCTCTATTTTCTGCCGATAAATCTAACGGTTTTATTTTCATAGGTCTCAATTTTCAAACGTAATAGTGCGCGAGTTTTCAGCGGTGTGCGCATTTACGGTTCATCCTGGTAAAAAGGTAATAATTTGATTATAATTCGTAGCCCTGTGTTATTTTGGTGGGTCATTGAGTTAGAGATAGTTAATTAACTCAAATTATCTAGTGCTTCTCTGCATCTGTCCGGTGTCGGTGCCGCTTCTCTGCATCTGTACCCTCTAGAATAATGATTCAAAAGTTTCTGCTGATGAAGATAATGAGTTTTTTCCTAAAGAGTACTTTTGATTATGGATTATTGAAAGAGATTGTTAACAGGTTCTTACCAAAACCTAAGGAAGAGAATAATAAGAACTTACACAAAAGCTGAGAGGTAATGCCATTTAGCAGAAACAGGAACATTGAAAGGAGGCAAAGAGTCAACTGTTAGAACACAGATTGGTTCTTAATAATAACTCTTTGTTTTGATGATAACTGTTAGGAAATTTTATATCTAAGAATTATATACTCTAAGATTTGTTTGAGAGTTTTACTGCAGATTGAAATGAAATTAACTCTCTAGAAGCAAATATGAATTGTATACAAGAAGTTATCCTGACTCTGAAGCGCCAGATGCACTTATCAGAAGCATCTGAAGCAGAAGCATCTGAAGCTAGTCAGAAGCATCTGAAGCTGAAGCATCTGAAGCAAAGAAGAATATTGTTTGAAGAGTTTCTCAAAGCATAATTCTACAGAAGTTTCTGAAAGTACTAACGCTGCCAAGTACTGAAGTTCTGTGTCAAATATGCTTTGATGATCAACACGCTGAAAGCACACATGCTGCAGAAGACTCTGATACAGCATAGTTCTGAACATCATTAGAAGACTCTGACTCATTCAGATTCTGAAGAACTTGCTGAAAACTGAAGAAGAAATATTCAAGATTATATCCGTTGGAGTAAATCAACGTCTCTTTCCTCATTTGTGCTAGACACAATTACACAGACAAAAAGGATTTTTCTGTGTTATCTACTTCTAGGAAAGGTCACTTGATGTGAAGACAAAAAGGCTCAGACCTTTTTGGGACTCTCTTTTCAACGCTCAACTTACTTGGATCAGCTGCCTATAAAAGGAGGACTCCACCACATTCTTCAGTTACACAATTTGCTGAAAAGAAATCATATTATTCTAAGCTCTCATTCTTTCATATTCTTCTTAGAATTTCTTGTACTTAAACTTAAGAGAAAAATCACTATTGTGATAATAGCTTTATAGAAGCATTAATACTCTTGTATTTGATTTACATTGATTGTAAAGGTTTTCCTTAAGAGGATTCAGTTTGAATCAGTAGCTCTTGAGAAGACTAAGAACAGTTGTTCTTAGGTGTTACTATTGTAATCTGTTTGATTAAATAGTGGATTAAGTCCTTGTTGAGAAAGGCAAATCACTCTAGGAAGGGTGGACTGGAGTAGTTGTTTTAAACGAACCAGGATAAAAATAATTGTGTCATTATTTTTAAAGTCTTAATCTTTCATACTTATTCAACCCCCCCTTCTAAGTATTATCTCACCTTCATCAACAATCTTGATAGGAACAATTTTGGTTTGCTTGTCGATCCCAATAACTATAGCAACAACAAGGGTGAGAACAAAGGCCAAAAGTCTAAGAATCAATTCACAAGAATCACCCTTAGCCTTAGGAGGTTTTCTCCCTTCTATACCGGT